AGCAGCTGGTGCGTGGTGCAGTGTTTTGCTCGAAATCCAAATTGTTCATCAATCAGAACGTTGTGATTTCGGAGAAAATCATTCAGGCGTTTAAGTAACACAAACTCGTATATCTTAGATAACGAGGATAGGAGGCTGATAGGTCTATAATTTTGAGGATTAGAAAGGCTTTGGCCTGGTTTTGGAATAGGCACAATAAGTGCTTGTTTCCAGCTTTGAGGAAAATAGCAATGCTGTATCATAAAATTTATAAGCATTACTAAGAAAAATAGATAGTTGGTGGGTAAATTTTTAATCATACGATTAGAAATAGAGTCCATACCAGGGGCTTTTTTGGGTTTGAGCTTGGTAATGTATTCACTTACCTCGCTCATGGATGTATAGTGTATTTCTCTCGCGAAAGGCGAGGAGAGGAAACGTTCAACATCTTGTGGGAAAGAACTTGCGCTGTTCGCAAAAATTCCTTCATTATGTGGTGTAAATTGAGTTTGAAGAGAATCCGCAATTAATTCGGATTTCTCAGCGTCTGTGTGAGCCACCACTGCGTCCGTAGCTAAGGACGGAATGTTAGATTTGTGTTTGCGTAGGCGGGCTGATGCGCGCCAAAGACTGTTATCATTGGTCGTTAGGGACTGAATGTAATTCGTGTATTGTGATTGGAAGAACTGGTCACATGATGCCTTGATCTCATTTTGGAGAGCACGGAGTTGAATTTTTAAACCAGGATTTCTATTTCTTTGCCAAAGTCTCCGTACTTTATTCTTTTCTTTAATTTTGAGTTTAATTTCTTGAGGTAATTTACGAAAATTGGGTCTGAGGGTGGGTTTTGATACTTCCTTATAAGTATCTGTTAAAATGGTCGTTAAGTGATCGACTGCCGAGTCTATATCATGGCTGGATTTAATTTCAAGGGAGGGCAAATTTTTTTACTTTTAAGTTTGAAACGAAAATTGTCCCAGTTTGTAGAGACGAGTGCCGGAGAATTTTGATTAAAATAGTACAGTTAAGGTCTATGATTACGGGGTTGTGATCTGAAGATAAACAGTTTTCAACAGTCACGTGATATCCAAAAGGGATGTTTCGAAAGAGTGCCAAATCATGAATGAAGGGGCACCCCGTGAACCATATCTAGTAGGGGAATCCGGCGCAATAATTTTAATTTGGGCGCACTGAGCCCATTTTAGAAGGCCACGACCAGCAGGGTTTGATCTATGACAACGCCAATGCTGATGGTGACAATTTAAATCACCAGCTATGATAAGATTATTTGAAAAATTGAGCAGTTTATTAAATCTACCACAGGAAAATTTCCACCTGGTGGGAAGATAGGCAGAGATCATAACTAGGGATGGGCGAATTTTGAATAAAAATTTCGATGATTGTTGCTTCAAGTTTGCTCATATTTGGAGTGTCAATTCTACGATGCGGGATTGAATTTTTTATGTAAATACAAGTGCCACCATGATAAACATCACGTGTATTTGAAGCTTGTCTGTCATTTTTATATAAGTGCATAATTTACAAGCTTGGGAGCTCTCCCTGGCTGGAGTTTGGTCTCTTGGACAAAAATGATATCAAAATCCTTCTCTTCTACATAGTCTCTAAACTCATGGAATTTGGAAAGAATGCCATTTGCATTCCAGGTGCATAGTTTTAAGATTTTTCAACCCTTTCAAAGTATTGAATTTTAATGAATGTGGGAATCAGAGAATTGGAGAGTAATATAACTCTCAAAGATGTAGTAAGGCCGCGTCAGCACCAGATGGAGCCACTCTGAGCTGCGGTAAGGCGTTTTTGAATGCCAAAAGTAATTTGCTCTGGTCAATACCAGGCTGATTTTGAAATTTGGATTATAGCCAAAAGGATTTCGGTACAATTTAGAGTCGAATTTGCTCCTAAGGGGACCGATAAATTTGGAATAAGTTTGGGGTGCAGCCTGTTGCATACCCGTAAGGGCAGCAGAGTAGGATACTCCAGGGCGAGTATTATTTGCACTGGGAGTGTGTGCAGCCGGCAGTGTTGGAAATGAATTGTGTTGTATATTAAATTTGTTCGTGTTGTCAACGGTCTGACTGGGTTTTGGTACTTGGCTTTGGTGGTTGACGATTTTTGGATCCAGGGAATCTTGGGCAGGATCTCCAGTTTGCTGCGTGGCTCCCGGAACAGTTGGCACATTTGTTGGGTTCTTCGAAGGGCTTGGTGCATTCCTTCGCCTGATGCGGACCAGCGCATCTGACACATCGTTGGGGTAACGTACAGACCTCCGAAGAATGAAAGAATCCCTGGCAACGCCAGCATTGTGAGGGACCTTTCTGCCCTTTGAAGTGTTCCATCACCACTTCTGTGCCAAGGAGTTCGGTAACTGAATATATTTCTGAAGCTTTGAGGCTGTTATGTATCTGAAGATAGAAGAGTGGCATAGGCATTTTTGTCTTGAATTTTTTCAGCTGCGATATCTTATGGATCTTAAAACCAAGTACTTCGACCGCAGTCTGCACAACGTTGATCGGTGTGTTGGAGGGTAATCCCCTAATGACCACTTTGAGTGGTCTGTCCGATTTTAGTGTGTGAGACTTAAATTGAATGTTGTTTTCGGTGAGAAATCTAACGACTGTCCGATAATCTGTTTCGTTAGTGGTAGTGAGGCGTAGAAATTCGATGTCTTGTTTGGATTGGACAGTCGGTGCGTGTCTGCGTAGCTGATTCAGTAAAAAGAACCAATCAGCACGCGGTTTAATGAAGATGGGTGGTGGTGTCTGAGTTTTAGGTGTTGTAGTTTCAGCCGGCTGCTGCGTTAAGTTTTCTGTGGTTTCTGTGACGTTTTGAATGTTAGTGTAAGAGTTTGTAATTGTAATGTTGTTAGAGTTTTCTTTAGTGTTGGGTAGTTTCTTTGCAATCAAGTGTTTAGGGGGGATTGCAAAGCCGTCACTGTCGACTGGCCTGGATCTTTTTTTGGTATCAGTTTGAGAAGTTTCTTTGGGTGGGTCTGAGGATGAGGGTGAGGTTAGATTTTGGATTATTTGTTTTCAGGTTCAGAGGTTTTGGTGGTCTTTTGAAATTCCTTAATAAATTCATCTTCTGTAGCTGGTAGAGTGAAGAGGTTAATGTTGAGGCGGGTGCACAGTGTGTGTAAGGAAAATAAAATTTTCTCACCCTCATCCTGTAGTTGTTTCATCATCAGGTCTTTGTTGGGAGTTTCAGATCTCTGTAGACGCTGAATGTCAAAGAGAAGATCGGTGTGCCGGGTCTTTAGCGCGTATATTTGATGTGCACTTTTTGAGAGTTCTTGGGCTGAAGGAGAAGCTGGAGGAGTTGAGTTCGTAGTGTCCATATCTGTGAGTACTTGCAAAGGTTGCGAAGTCGAGTGATTGCCTGCTGGCGGCGCCGTATTCGTGGTATCCTTGTTCGCATTGCGGAGCTCTGAGCTCGCACGTCTGTCGCTCGTGGCGTCCATGACGCGAAAGTGACCGCCACGTGCGGTCACTTTAGATAAGTTCCAAGTCCGATCGCCTACGAGCGACCAGTAAGCGTCTAGTTGTAGCTCCTTCGCGAGCGTTCTGTTAGACCGCTTCTTTCGGACTTCTCGAACCAACTAAAGTTGTGTTACCTGGAGAGTTCCTACAGAGTAGAGATAGGTAAGCGACATCTGGTGCTTCGTTGAGGCACGATTCCCACATTTCATGGATGCGGGATTTCAAGGACTTTGAATGTCTCATTGATTCAAAGAGGGCAACCGGCGGCCGAGCGCTAAAATTGCTGAAACACTGGTACTTCTGACCTGGGTTTGGATTCAGGCGAACGGGTTGGCTGCATGGGCGTTTTCGTGGTTTTATCAATTATAGCCAGTTTCCCTTAGTTCTGTAAATTCTGGATTGAGGGATAATTCATCAAGAGCGATATAATAAAAATTCGCAAGAAGAGAAAATTTTGGTGTAGCACCTGGGTGCTTGGGTAAGAGACCCCACCCACATTGAAGAATAGTGTAGTTTACGAATGATGCAGCAAAATAATTTGTACAGTTTGCTAATACATTCAAAGAAATGTGCATAACAAACATATTTGCATGCATACATAGTTTTTATTTTTTTATTTTTTTTTTTTGAAGTTAAGAGAGGATTAAGAGAGGCTAAAGGTATTCGATAATTAAATTATCAGTCGTGCGAAGAGCTCAAGTGTTTTGGCAAAGATACTACAAATACAAAGAACATGCCAATTAAAGCATACAGGTACATTGATCTGGTGTTGCCAAGTATGGCCATTGGTCTTTTACTATATGGAGGGTCATTTACATCATAATCCCTGATGATAGAATTATTGATTCGTTCCTGATCATTAAAGAGCTTGCGAGCAGTGCGGAAATAGAATACTTTAAGCTGCTCAATGGGTGATTCCTGATGTAATTTTAAATTTTTCACGTACCACGAAGAATTAGTAATTTGCCGCAGTATGCGATTATAGGCAGTTTATAGCTTATTTCTGGCAGATTTGCATGAGTACGCCCAAACCGGGTAGGCATAACAAAGTGGACGCAGCATGGATTTATAAATAAGTAACTTGTTGTCTATAGAAAGTACACTGTGTCGAGCAATTAAGGGGAAGTGTGAGTGTTTACCTACTCGAAACTTTTTAATGACAGATGTAATGTGTGGAAAGAGTTTTACAGAGAAGATAAAGTAAAGCCTGCTGCATTTTAAACCATGATCGTATCAGTTTTCGTCAAAGCGATAAATCTCTCGAAAGAAATTGTCGGTGAAGTACCTCTCAGGTGAACATGCTCTCAAGAATAGATTAGGTAATCAAAGCTACAAGCTTTCATCTATGATATCTGGTATGTTTCGTTGATTGTTATATATTATGATGAGAATGTTAGAAAAACTTTTACTATTTAGGGATGCGGTATTTCTAGCATTCCTTTGAATATTCAAGAACTTGTAGCATTCAAATAGGTTTTGCCAAGTTTTTAGCTACAGCGAAATGACGGCTAGCCCTAGTTTCACCTGTATTCGTAGCTGGGAAGTTCATTTGCAGTGCCTCCGAGGATATTCAAGCTATGTAAAAACTAACATTATAAGGTATATCTCCCGTTTTCATAGCGTGCCTTTATGGTGTAGTGGTTCTGCACGCTGGGCCGGTATACCAGAGTTCCGTGTTTCGATTCCCGGCGAAGGCGGCTGCATATTTTCATCTTTTCTGCTTCCAAAAAAATCTTAATGTCTCTATAACCTTTTGGAACTCGCAATCCAACAGGTTATTTTTAACTACTGTAAAGGCTTTTATTTTTGCGGGCCATAATTTTCGCGAAAACGAATATATCGGTGATTTCGAGAGTTGAAAATTTCGCGAATTTTACATGAACAGAACCGAAAGTTGAAAAATTTCAAAAGTACCTAAATAAAGTTGAGAAAGTTGAAAAATTCGATTGAATTGTTCGACGTTTCTAAGGCGCACCAAGATCATTTTTTTCTGACTGAACTAGAGAAGAGGAATATTATTCCAGTTTTTGGGCCCGCTTCCTGCACAGGAGAGCTCCAACCTTTGGACTTAACTGTAAATGGCGAGTTCAAGCGTTTGCTCAAGAATGAGTTTATTGAGTGGTATTCTAATGAGCTTCAATTTCTAAAGGAAAAAGAATCTGTGGACTTGCGAATATCACGACTAAAACCGATTCACGCTTCTTGGCTTGTGCGCGTATTTAACGGTATTGAAGCCAAACATGAGATAATTTTGAATGGCTTCAAAGAAGCTGGTATAAATAGTATTTTAAGTGAATGAGCTGCCTTCTATTAATTTTATTGTTTTATATTCGAGAAATATAGTTGTATATTATTCAAAAATAGTTATAACAAAGAAAGTGGTCAAGAAAAAGCTTGTAACTGTGCAATAAATTATTAAATTTTGGGTAAGTGAAAAATTTCTGATTTTTTATTATTATTTGAGGCGAAAAAAAAAAGTATTTCGCGAGGCTTAAATTTTCGCGATTACGACGGGCTCGCGAAAATTAAAGCCTCGCGAAAATAAGAGCCTTTACAGTACTCAACTTATTGTTTACGATACTCGAAATTTCAGAAACATAAATAAAATGTAGTTCATACAGTGGATGGACAAAAATATGGAAACACCTTGTGAAATGCATGTTTGAAAAGAAAGATTGATTTTAATAAAATATGTAGGTGGCGCTGGCGTTTTTGACTACTGACGCCACCTATACAACTTCGTAAATGTGCTAAACAGTTCAGTTGTTGTCGGAGTACTGTTATGTGAGGTTGTCATTGCATTATGTCAGAGTTAACAGACTTCGAACGTGGGCAAATTGTTGGAGCACGTATGGTAGGTGCTTCCGTAAGCAAGGTAGCCGAGGTGTTTAGTGTTTCAAGAGGTACCGTATCGAAGATTTATTCCGCATATTTGAAAAGCGGAAAAACATCATCTGCTAAATCACAGCGCGGACGAAAGTGTGTCTCGAGTGATCGTGACAGACGATCATTAAGGGCAATTGTGACGAGAAATAAGAAGACCACAGCTGCAAAAGTTACTGCTGAAATGAATGTTGTGCTACCGAACCCTGTGAGTACCAAAGCAATTAGAAGGGAGCTTCATAAACAGGGAATTGCTGGCCGTGCTGCAATTGAGAAGCCACTCATCAGTGATGCTAATGCCCGTAACAGGAAAGGTGGTGTTTAAGTCATAAAGCCTGGACTATAGAGCAATGGAAGCGAGTAATATGGTCTGACGAGTCTTCTTTCACATAGTTTCCCACTTCTGGTCGAGTTTACGTCTGGAGAACGCCATCTCAAGCCTATAATACAGACTGCTTGTTGCCAAGAGTGAAACATGGCGGGGGTTCTGTTATGGTTTGGGCAGCCATATCGTGGTTCTCTGCTAGCCCCATGATAACTGTGTCAGGGCACATGACTGCCAAGACTTATGTGAACATTTTGGCCGATCAAGTTCATCCCATGGTACTAACTTTGTTCCCCGATGGTGATGGTGTCTTCCAAGACGACAAAGCCCCTGTTCACACAGCTCACATTGTCCAGGACTGGTTTTCTGAGCACGAGGATGAGTTGTCCCATCTCCCCTGGCCACCACAGTCACCAGACCTGAATATTATCGAACCTTTGAGGTCTACATTGGAACGGAAAGTGCGTTCTCGTCATCCACCGCCAACGTCGTTATCTGAACTTGCCACCGTTTTGCAGGAAGAATGGTATAATATTCCCTTTCCAAACATACAGGAACTGTATTTATCCATTCCGAGAAGACTGCAAGCTGTTTTGGATGCCAACGGGTTTCCTACACCATATTAAGCAAAGAAACATGTTTTTTTAAAGGTGTTTCCATATTTTTGTCCAACCCCTGTATATTTGACTGTGAACGCTTTTTATTCTGATCTCAAATATACATATCCTATTTTCTTTAAAAATTAGGAATATTCAAATATAAATGTTTCGTATACATTTCTAACTTAAAGAGCTAACTTTGTTTAAGTCATCCCCAATAGTTATTTTCTTTGTAATTAATATTTTTAGAGATCTTTTGCGATCTACCAGAGTCACTTGCGAATGGCTCTATTCCGGAGGTACAATCTACCAATATTACAGCTTTCCCTTACGACTTTGAGATCACGTATGTGTGCAATGAAGGCTACCGATTAATTGGAAGTAGCTGGCGGTTCTGCAGTAAGAATGGATGGTCTGGAGATACACCATACTGTGAAGGTAAGATTTATAACCATGCTTTCTATCTGAGCAAGTGACTAATATAAGAGGCTCACTTTACTAGTTCACACTTAAGGAATCATATTCGGTACTTTCTGATCACCTCACCTCCAGTGAAAAGCCGCGATAATATATTGATTGCGATGATCCATTGATAGTAATGGAACTGTAAAATTTGCCCTTGTACGGGTCGTATCGATATTAATAGTCGATTTCAAAAGACTACTTTCTACAACTCAACTCTCCACGCAGGAAGACATTCATGCAGATTTTCCCGCTGGGGCATTGTATACTGTGCTCTGGCGTTCTTGAATTTCTGAATAAGGTTACTCTAATTAAATATTATACATTTAATTATGGACTGATATGTTTACCTACGTGATATAAACACTTCACCAACCCGCGCATTCTCTTTTCTTCATTACAACGGAATACAAGTTAAAGTCTCAACTGTCGTCAGGCGATCGTACCTGGTGCAAAATACCAATGCTGTACGCGACTATTTGCCTACGAACAGGGAGGCTTTCAGGGAAGATTTTCTAAGGGACTGGATCATATCCCGGTTACACATATGAAAACCACGAAAACTGTTGTAAGGTAAGTTAAGTTTGTTATCTTATCTTCGTTGATTATGAGACTGACGTTTAAGTCCCGAAACTATTTCTGAAACTGCTAAATAAGAATTAATAATGGCACAGTCAAGTCTTAAAGACTGCATGCATGTAACGAAACTGAATTCCGAAAATTACGCTACTTGGAAATTCAAGATAGAAATGCTTTTAATGTGCGATGGATGAGATGATCTTTTTTATTCTACCCTACGTTCTAAACCTGATGATGAAATTTTAATGAGGCATAAACAAACGCAAGCTACAATAAATCTATGCACTGACTCCTCTCAGATTATTCATTCATGTTAGAGATGAAACGACTACCGCCGTTACATGTCAAATGTTAAAGTCAATTCACGAGCGCTCCAATCTGAGCAGCAAATTATATCTTCTTAGAAAATTATATGCGGTAAAAATGGCTGAACACGATGATATGATTGCATGATACGATGGACTTTGTCGAAAATTTGAAGGCTATCGGTGAGAACATTCCGGATCAGAATGTAGCTGCACTTTTGTTAGTTTCAATGCCCGAATTACACAATAATCTTATAACTGCAATTGGAGGTAGAGAGGAAACTCTTATAGCTACAGATCTTGAGAAAACGAAACTCACTGACGAATACAAGTTGTTAGAACAACAAGCAGGTCGAAGTTTTAATTCTTCAACGGCATTTATATCTGCAATAAATGCAGGAAACTATGATACTAATAGACAAAAGAATTTTGTACCTTTTGTAAACGCAGTGGTCATACTCGTAAGCGTTGTTTTAAATTACAAAACAAAAATAACTATTCTCGTCCTGACAACTCAAAATCAGAAACTAGCTGTGACCAAACATATCGAAAATTCGATCCGTCATTGTATGAGCGCAGACACTTTCGTTAGATGTAAATCATGGCGCCACTTCAAAGCGCTACTTAAGGCTTGGTTTCGACGATTTAAGTTCGGCAATTGTGATTTTCTTGTGGTTTTTTACAAAAAAAAAAAAAAAAAAAAAAAAAAAAAAAAAAAAACGATCAATTATACCTCGTAGTAAACAGAGATCATCGTTTAATCAATTATCTGAGTTCGACAGAGGAAGGATAGTGGTCTACCGAGAGTGGGAATTATCTTTCAGGGAAATCGGTAGTCGTGTTGGACGAAACCAAACAACTGTAATGCGGATATGTGACCGTTGGATGCAGGAGGATACGACGGACCGACGTGTTCGATCGCATCCACCTCAGTGCATCCCTTCACGTGATGACAGGAACATTGTACGCGTGGCAGTGACGGATCGCTCAGTCACATCACTAACCATAGCACAGCACATTCAGTCTGTAACGTATCATCCAGTGTCTGCGCGTACCATTCGACGCCGCTTACAGCAGAGTGGTCTGTCCGCAAGACGTCCATTGCTTCGTCTACCTTTGACGCAGAACCACAGACGTCTCCGCCGCCAATGGTATGATGAAAGAAGGATGTGGACAGCAGAATGGAATGAATTTGTCTTTACTGACGAGTCACGGTTCTGTCTGCAACACCACTGGAACCGTAACTGTCGGCTGTTGGGCTGGAACCGTAACTGTCGGCTGTTGTGCTGGAACCGTAACTGTCAGCCGTGATGTTTGCTGAGTTTGTTGCGCTTGTGTAGAAGGGCTTATATATTTGTGCATACTGATTTTTGGTGTCTAAAAGTGCTGTATTTGGAATCTAAAGGCCTTTCGGTTTGGGAAGATGTCTTGCTTTTGAAGATTCGAGGATTTTTGACCGAGTTACAAGCATTTTAGGATTCATGCGTATTTAGGAGCTCATTTGCATATGACTTTGAAGTTTTGGCCTGTATTCTTTTACATCGACTTGGTGAAAGTACTTTTGTTTTGATATTTTAGTTTCTATACATCTTTTACTATCTGTATAGTGAATTTGATTCAATTTTCATGGCCTATTTTTAAAGTTATTTGTATTTGAAAATTTGATACTACGTTTTGTTTACGTTTGAATCTTTGTGATTTTGCACCGTGGGCATGTCAACTTTTAGCCAACTGGAAAATATTGAAAATTCGGATTTTTAAATGTTATGGCAGGAGAGACTTATATATAAGTTGGTGCATTGATGATATATGTTTTTCAGCCCGTTGGACAATTTTTGGATATTTTTTTCGCATGTAAGATTGATTTTATATTTTACTATGAATGCTTTTGAGATTGAGGTGTTTTTAAGTATTTTTGATTATTTTAATTTGTAAATCTCAATATTTTCAGCTTTTAAGGCGTTTTTAGTTTTATTTACTCCTGATATTTATAAAATTGGATTTGTTCGGATGCTAAAGCTGGATGGATTTAATTGTGCTGTAGAAACATTTTTGATGCGTTTTGCAATCATCTTAATTTTGTAGAATGTAATATTTTTTGTGTGTGTTTCTGTTTATGTGATACAAACCACTCTGTATTTTACTGAATTTTATTGTATATATGAGAGTTCTTGTCATTTTATCTAATTTTAAATTGTAATTATTGTAAATCTTACATTTGTATATATGTTTTTATTCTGAAAATTTTAATACTGGCCCCGTCGCAGTTATATTAGTGAATAATTGTGTGAACTTTTCGTGATTTTTGTGATGAGTCAACTGAAGAGTAATAAGGAGAGTAAACTTGTGGAAGTTGAGGGAGAGACTTTGGAGAGTCCGGATGAAATAAAAGAAATTATGGACTGTGGTAATGATAGACCGAACAATGAGGGAAAAATTGAGAGTGTACTCGTTGTTGTTAGATCATTATATGATTTTGTAGACAAGTTAAAGATGAGGCAATTTGTAGACAAGATGAGGTTTAAAGATAGCAGAGAAGTAGACAAGGTACAGAATGTTATTGAATCCAGGAAAAATTTAAGGGATAAACTTTATACAAGGAAGAAAAGGTTTATACAACCGAAGATAATTGTATATGGCGTATGCAATTTAATAGATGATAAGGAGATTATGGATAAAATGAAGGAGGAGTACATTTGTGATGGAAGTTGTGTTCGTCCTCTCTTTAGACAAAAATGTAAAGAGTCCGACGAGATTTCTCATCGCGTTTTCTGTGTAGACCCTCGATGTCAAGGTGTTGTCCTGGAAGACTGCAGAGTTCGTATAGGTTGGAAGGCATATTCGGCTAAGCTCTATCTTAATACGAAGATGTGTCTGCGTTGCTTTCGATTCAGGCATACTACCAAAAATTGTAAAAATGAAATTGTATGTTTTAGATGTTCTGAACCACATGAATTTAAAAAATGTAAAATGGATGTAGAGATTTGTGTAAACTGTAAGAACTCTAACTCGAAATATGGTACTCATTTGGATGTTCATCACCCTGTTTTATCAGGAGATTGTGAACTATACAAACGTGAAGTTAGATTTATTTCAAAACATATACGTTTAGTGGAATGATTTATTTTAGGTTTTAAGGGTTAGAACTGCGATTGGGCTGTTTTATTATATTTTATACTGATCATTATCTTATGGTGTATAATTTTTTGTTTTTTTATTATTAGGCTATTGTACTGTTCCCTTGATTATGAAAGTGCTAAATATAAACTTGAATCACTGTGGCGGTGGCAGCTTGCCAGTTGGCTGCTGTTGAGGATATTTTGGAACAGAAGTTTGACTTGATAACTGTCAGGAGCCCTATTATGTAAATACAGAAATCCCATTTTTAAAAAAGGGTTGGAGAGCGGTGCATGATGTAAGGGGAAGATCTGCCATAATTGTTACCAAAGAAGAGATTGAATTTATTATAGATTATAAAACAAATGAGATAGTAGCCATCTCCTTGAGAATGGAGAACTTTACAATGGGTGTTGTGTCGTGTCGGTATACTTCTCCCCTGCGGAAAACTTGAATTTACATTTGACAAGACTTGAAGACGTTTTGAACAAGTATACATTTTATTTTATTGCTGGAGATTTTAATTCGAAACATTTTAATTGGGGTTCTAGGACTGTGGATGATAGGGGTGTTTTAACCATGGATTTTTTAATACAGAATAATATTATTTTATATAATCAATCAGACTCATTACCAACTTTTGTTTCCGCAGTAGGGAAAGGTTGGACAGACTTGATTCTCAGTTCTGCCTCTCTCTCTCCCCGTTTCGTATTGAACTCAAGATACATGAAGAGGAGAGTCTTAGCGACCATAGATATGTTGCTGTTGATATTGAAGATGTTCAACCTGTGAGACATGAGAGTACTGTTTTTACAAAAAATCTTGTTAGAATAAATAAATTTTGTAAAAAACTTAAACTGGATATGGAATTAATGACGGATAGACTGAGATCAATTGATGATGAAAATAATTTTGGAGAATTTTGTGGATGACTTTGAAAGGTTGATTGTCCAGAGGGCTAAGAGGTACCTGACT